ACTACAACAATATCGACACCATAATGCTTTTGGTGCTGGAATTAATAACAAAATATATAAAAATCGAGATACTTACGTGAGAAATCTATGTTTTTTTGGCGAGAAACAAACAAACCGCTGTCATACGTCACACTTAAGCCGCGACCACCGGCTAGCTACGGGAGAGGGGAAGGGTGCCTACGAGAGAAGTTTTAACATGATCGGTCGAATTGACAACCTCGCAGTTTTTTCAACATGGTGGTGGTTCAATGTTCCTGGTTGGTTGGTTGGTTGGTTCAAAATATAGAAACGTGTCTCGGCAACATGAGTGAACATCAGGAGAAGGTGTTGGAAGGTCATGGTGCTGTCCACATACAATTGTCTATGATGCACTGCATTTAAATTTGGAATATCTTTATTTTATTTTTAAATGTGCGGTGTCATTTAATTTAGTTCATATATTTTCTCTTACAAGTAAACACAATGTTTTACAATTTATTTTGCATTTTAATTAATTGCTTTAGCCACTAGTCCACCCTATCAATATTAACATTATTAATTTAATTATTGAAGTTTAATAAAATTGTTACACATGTACACTCCTTGTTTTATTTCTCTGCATGAAAAATTCAAATTCTGTAATTGCATACCATTTTAAACTCTCGCGCCATACAATAGTACCGATGGCATTCACTGGAGCGCTGGTGTAAGCATTTTTTTACTATGAAGTTGTTGTTTTTCTTCGCTAGAGCTAGAAGTAGGGATGTGACATTCTGCATAAAAAAATCGATTTTTTTTTATTAATCGATTTTTTCCTAATTTTTGAATTAATTTCAAAATAAACACCCTAAATATTTTAATTTCATAGTTTTTTAAATTAAAAATAAACAATAGAAATTATAAACACAAATTAACGTTTAAGAATAATCACAATCGAAATTAACTTAATCTCGTTTTGATAGATTTTGATAACTGCTGAGTGTATTCCTTTTCAGTAGCACATTGCAGTATTTTTGTTGTCTTTTTAATTGTATGTAGTCTTGTGCTGCTGAATAAATTTATTTTACTTTTAAATTATAGTGTTCCATTCAAACTTGAGTTTTTGTAAAATTAACTGCTTTTATCATTTAAAGAAAAAACTGTTTGACCGGATTGAAGTTATGTATTATTATAAATTTACAACTATTTAACATAATTTTAAATTTATCCGACGTTTCGCGTGCTTTACAGCGTGCGTGGTGGTCAATTTAAAATTATGTTAAATAGTTGTAAATTTATAATAATACATAACTTCAATCCGGTCAAACAGTTTTTTCTTTAAATGTGTAAAGGTTATGTAAATCAAAGACAATACTATGCTTTTATCATCCTTTTAATGTTTTACAAAAAAATCAATGTATCGAGTATATCAATACATCTTCAAATAATCGGATTCAATGTATCGCATTGTAAACATCGTTGTGTATCGAATATCTCTAATAGTTCGAGGTCCGGGTTATAAAAGACCAGACATAATGTCGGGAGGTGGCAGATAAAAAATCGATTATGACTGATTTTCAATTATAAAAATAATCGATTATTTTAAATATAAAAATCGCGTAAAAAAATCGATTTTTACTTTTAAAAAAATCGATTTTAATCGATTTTTTTAATAATCGATTGTTTTTTCACATCCCTAGCTAGAAGTATTAGGGCTAGCGCGCACTGGTGACTTTTGTCACCGTGACTGTTTCGTCACTCACATCAAGTCTATTAGTATATATGGAGGTGCGCGCACGGTACGACGTGACAATTGGGTGACATTTTTGTCCGCCGACCAGCGGACAAGCCCGTGACGAAACTGTCACCACGCCGCTAGCTTTTTATAGCAGCGCGCGCACGGGCTACAAAATTGTCACTCAACACGTAGTTCTTCCGCCATTTGCATTCGGACCGTCGTCTTTAGCGAACGCAAAATGGCGTCAACGTCTACGCAAAACGTGAAAGTGCACGAAGAGGATATCGATAATGATTTACTTATTGAAGAAGTTGAAAAAAGAGCATTAATTTACGATAAAAAGCTGAAAGAGTATTCAGATTCTAATTTGAAAATTAAAGCATGGGATAAAATCAGTCGTATAATATTTTCTACAGTTTGGGGTACGTTGTCGTCACAAGAAAAAACTGAAGCTGGTGAGTATCTTTTTATTGACACAGCCCCTTGTGGTGAAGTAAAGTAATTCGCAAAATAATTACGTATATTTGCTGCTGATATGGTTCTGTCTGATGGATTTGTTGCAATACCTTTTAATGGACAATCGTAAACAGTGTCAGTAAATTGAATGCCATCTCTGCACCGTACAAAATTATGTAAAATACAACATGTTTTTACTATTATATCAGCAAAATCAAGACTGACGTCAATCGGCCTGTACAAAATTCGCCATTTGTTACAAAGTATACCAAAAGTGCATCAACCATGCGTCGTGCCCTAGTGTGGCGATAGTTGTAAATTTTTTTTACAGTAGACAATGATTTTCTTGAATATGGTCGCAAAATATGCCTCGACAAGCCTCATCAGCGACCAAACAAAATGGCATTTTTTTCCATTTTCATCATATGGCAAATTACGATCATCTGGTATGCTCAATTGATTTTGCTGCAATCTTTTGCCCATGCCAGAATTCTGAAATACATTGGAGTCGCTTGCTGCTCCATTAGCACCAACATCTATGTATACAAATTTATAATCTGCATCTACCCATGCCATGAGAACAGTAGAAAAGTACTTTTTGTAATTGAAACACTGCGTACCGGTGTTTTCCGGCTGAATTATTCTCACATGTTTGCCATCAATTGCGCCAATTATGTTCGGAAAATTTGTCCGTTGGTAAAACTGATTTGAAATAGTATACCAATCCTCTTCAGACTTTTCAGGCATGTATAGTGTATGTAAATTCCAGATCGTAGAACATGTAGATTTTACAATTTCTCGTGCAGTGGTGGCACCTATCAAATATTCAAATGATATGCTGTAAAAACTGTTGCCGGTTGCAAGATATCTGAAACAAAAGAAAATTAAATACATAATACAAAATTAAAGTTAAAAATACATAAATTAAATAAATGACTGACTGTTTTATACTAGTTAAGTATTTATTTTTACGTAAACTTGTACAAAAACGATGGAAGAATTTAAGGGCTTGTTTTTCACGTGAGCTACGTGAGCAAAAATGTACTAAGTCTGGCCAGGCCGCTACAAAAGAAGAAAGTACAAACATTTTGACCAACTTTTATTTCTTATCCCAAGCATGGATACCCGAGAAACCTCAGGAAATGCTGATTCTGTAGAGGAAATTGCTTGCGAAGAAGATAGTCAAGATGCCAGTGTGGAAGTACTACAGCGAGAAGAATATTCCCGAAAGAAAAATAAGAATAAAATATGTTACTAAGAAAGGCTTCTAGAGATTTTAAACAACAAAAGAGTTGATGATAACAGGTTTATCGAGACTATGAGAAATAACAAAAGTGACAGTAATGACGATGACAAGGAAAAGCATTTTGCGCTGTCTTTGGTGCCGTTGTTAAAAGCAGTCCCGGAGGAGAAAAAACTAGACGTACAGATCAAAATTTTACAAATTTTCCAGGAAGTTCAGAAACAAAACACTCAGCGCAATAATTATCCCCCATCCACAATTTATACAGGTAGTCCTCAAAATTTCCAAATCAAGCCCAAATATTCTGTTTCTATACCATCGCAAAGTCCCCAAGGCCCACTCCACTTAGCAAGAAACACTCCACTGATTTTATCTCCTTCTCCTACATATATTCCATCTTCAAGCCCTCAAAATATGCAAATCAAACCCAAATATTCTGTCTCTCTACCATCGCAAAGTCCCCAAGGCCCACTCTACTTAGCAAGAAACACTCCACTGACTTTATCTCCTTCTCCTACATATATTCCATCTTCAAGCCCTCAAAATATGCAAATCAAACCCAAATATTCTGTCTCTCTTCCATCGCACATTCCTCAAAATCCGCTCCACTTAGCAAGAAACACTCAACTTGTTTTATCTCCTTCATCCTACCTCCTACTCATACATCTACAAGTTCCCAAAATTTGCTACCCTCTGCACACACTCAACCGAATTCATCTTCACAATCATCGCCTCCTAAGCAAGACCCTAAAAGATTCCGAATTGTATGACATCTGCCAGGAGTACAATATCAACCAACATGAAGAATAATTAAAGAATATTACATTTCAATTACTTTTTTGATTTTTGATTATAGTTAAAAACTACTTACTTTAATTTGTATAACATTTTTGTATTTTCATTAAAATAAACAATTTAAAATTACATAATATTCTAATTACTTATATTTACCTCAAAGTAACAGCGAGTCTTTCTTCAGCCGGAACAGACAATCTCATGTTTGTATTTTCGTATGTCAACGCAGGTTCTAAATTGCGAAGTAATTCATCAAAACTTCTAACACTCATTCGAAAATACCCAAAAATTTCTTTGGATGTTCCCGAAGTTTATGAAACATGGTGTAGAACTTTCCATTTATTAACCTGTCACTCCAAAGGGGGTGTACCCAGGATTCTTTTCGCTTTTTTTCTCTTTTGAGTTTCCTTATAAGCTCACAGATGACGACCGTCTCTTCGAAATCCATTTCGACAAATGAAGGTTTTAAAAAAAACTTGTCACTGTCACCTTTCGTGAGCGCACCTCGCTTTGGAGGCGTGACGTGACAGCGACAAAAACTTTTTTGTCATGCTGACAAAAGTCACCGGTGCGCGCTAGCCCTTAGTGTTCACTGTTCTGTGGTGTTGAGTGTTGACTGTTGAGTGATTCGTAAAGGACTTTTTCAATTTCCTTGAAAAAAAAGAAGGAAATTCTAGTTTACTAATAATATTTATTTAATAATTTTTGTCAATAATTTTCTTCTTCAATCTATTGAAAATCGTATGCTATAAAAATCTTTAAACTTAGTTCATTATTGTTTATGTTTAATCTCCATCAAAATACTTTACAATGGAAGGTGACGAACTTGGGGGCGAATTAGTGAGATTAGAAAATGGATTCATAGTGGACGAAGAGACCTATGTAGTTAAGTCAGATGATTGTCTAGGTATAGCTTTTCCGAACATTAAAAATGTGTTAGGTGGAATACTTAAAACCATTTTATTTTCTTACCTAACTAATGCACAATTTAAATTAAATAACCTTGTTAGCCAGGCCAACATATTATAACTTTTCATACTAATTTGACCTTACTCTTACAGATGCTGATGGTAATAACTCAGATTCCAACAGTGGGTACAAAAACACACCACTTCGAGAACAGGATAGATTTCTACCTATCGCAAATATAGCAAAGATAATGAAGAGAGCTATTCCTGATAAAGGAAAAGTAAATATTTCTTTTACCAAACCATGAGATTGTATATATTGTCTTATATTTTAATAAATTTTAATAGATGGGGCATTGGAAATGATAATAAGATGAGCATCTGCTAATGAATTATGAATTAACACTTTATTGGGTGTGTCTAATAGTTTATTAAGTAATAACAACCTGTCATGTTCAGTTATAAATCAGAAGGCTCACTTACACCTGGCTTCTATTATCTCAAATATTAGTTATTGTTTAAAAAAATATAACATGAAAGTGGACTAAACTTTCAAAGAGATTTTTCTACATAATCTTTCATAGTAACTACAACTGGCATAGGGATATTTAAATTGGTGATTTGTGGTAAAAGGACATGATATGGAGAACTTCAAATTGAATATATTTAATAATTTTATTATCCTTTGTAGTATTAACTAATTTTTTTATAACTATTTCAGTGAATAATGTCAGAAATTATATATATTTTTAGATTGCAAAAGATGCCAGAGAATGTGTGCAAGAATGCATATCAGAATTTGTTTCATTCATAACAAGCGAGGCCAGTGAAAGGTGTAAAATGGAGAAACGGAAGACTATAAATGGAGAGGATATTTTGTTTGCAATGAATTCTCTAGGCTTTGACAATTATGTTGAACCCCTAAAAATATATCTTAAGAAGTATAGAGACTTCATTTTATCACCGGTAAGTATTTATTTATTTTAACTTTGTTTGATTAAAACAGTACTGTTTAGAATCATTTTACAACCTCATTCAAGCCAAGCCTGTAGATATGTGTATTATGATAATATGGATAAGCTAAATTGTCACATATACAACCACTGATTGTATCTCTAGTGCCACACTTTTAATGTTTTATTAGCCCTTCAAAACATTAATGAGCATTAACATATTATACCAACATTGTATGGTTAATAAGGTACATGCATAGTTACCATCAACCAGTGAATATGTACCTAAGTTAAATAAATGTTCTTTATCCTATTTTATTACTACTGCAAGTGATTAATAACAACCTCTTTGGGAACTCCCAATGTTATGTATTTTGCATAACTATGCAAAATACACTATTAAGCTGTAGCATACATATTGTTGGATATAAGTAGTAAAGATATATACTGATCCTATATTGTCCTTCCTCAATATTTCGTTATATTTTTGTATCATTATCTATCAACCCATTTAATTTAGGAATAAACATGTTGAATGTTCAGTATGGGCATGACAGTTTAGATACAACTTATATTTAATGTCAAAATTCCGAAAGTAGTTCCAGACTAATTGCAAATAATTTTTTCAGGTATCTGTGAATAAAATAAATAAAACAATTGTGGTATACGGACGTAAGTTTACTTTTTATTACTTATCAGTATAAAAAAATAATGAAATAGTAGATAATATATTTATCTTTTCTAGATGACAACATACCAATTCCATGTGAGAGTGAAAATGAAACTCAAACAGAAACTATTATCTATGGTTATCCATAAACTTGCAAGGGTTTGGCAACATATTGTTTATGATTTTTTTTATATTATGTAAGTAATTTTAACAAGAAATATACGATTTAAAGAGGTGTCAATATTTTATTTAATAAAAACATAATGTGTGTTATTATTATAAATAAATATTATATGTATATAGAAATAGTGAAATAATTTTTTTTTATTGTTATCTCTATATTTAACATACTTAAGCAAAACCTGTGGTAGGTTCTCCAATACACTATACTAAGACTATATATTATAATCTGTTGTTCAAATGAACACTTGATTAAGCAATAATTAAGTACCTAAATATCTAAACAATTCTAAAATATCTACTCCCGAAATTTATCTGTAATATATCCCGGCAACGGAAGCAAATACAAAAATTTATTCAAAACCATCATACCAACTGAAAACGCGAAAGACACACCTAAATTAAAATCTGGGTTAAAATCGCCGCTCAAATAAATGTCACCCGCGAAGTTCTTGGATGTGAATCTTTCAGTTAAAAATGCTTTACCGTTGGCATATCTACAATTTCCGTTAGAGGTGGCATTTAAGTTGCTTGAGGTTTGAATTAAATTCGTTATTGACGAACAGTTTTCTTCATCATCGTACGGCAAGATGTTGAATGTTGGTTGTTTGAATATATTACGATGGAGGAATATTGATGCGTAGCGTGTGTGAGTCGCGTATGTAAGATAGAATAGCCATTCTTCGAAGCCTTTGTAAGATCTGAAATTTGTTTAAAATTATATATTAATATTGTAGTGTTGTCAAGAACTTAGAGGCATTTCTATGTATTTTTACTAGTATGACAATTATGGGGAAGGTGGTATATCAGCCCTTTTGTGAATCGAGCTGTAGCATTTATAGATTTTACGGAAAAAACTGTCAGGTTATTTGCGACAACAGCTTGGAGATATTGTAGCTCCCATTAACATCAATACCTGGCTATTCATTACGCGGCGAATTATCACGAAAAGAATTACAAGTGTTATCTAGAAATATTAGCACACTCATTTATAAACAACGATATTACCAACTAAAGTAAACTGTTTCATGCGTAAGATTCACAGAAAAGTCTTGGTACTCTTTCCCTTGTGTCAAAACATTAGATGAGAGACTCACTTCGTATTTAACGCATCTGATGTTTAAGCTTAATGATTCGTAAATTGTCACTTTGAATATATACAAACTAAGTAAATGAATTGGCTTTTTGCACCTTATTCATCAAGTTTATCAAGGAAATTAGAATAACATACCTTAAAACTCCACTTGCCAGCATAACGTAAATACAGGTAATGTAAATATTAATTATTGCTGCAATTAAACCATTTTTGACAACCATCATGATAGCTAAAGATTGCTGTTCGGCATATATATAGCAAGACCAAAGTATCAATGCAAAGTATATGTATTCCAGACTCTCTGCTATGTCGCCTAGTATCCTAAAAAAAATAACACGATGTTAGGATTAAGTACTTTCAGCTGAAGGTTCAATTGACTGCGATTTAGAATAAACAATTGAAAGTTAATTTAATCAATACGCAATATTGTTCAGCAATAGTATGTAAGTCTTAAGGTGGAAACATACTACTAAAACGCCACGCGACGCAACGTGTCGACACCCGATGTCCATCGTGCAGTCATTACCAACACGCGACACCACGACACACTTGCAAATTCAGAAGTCATTTAGCTGACAATTGACATTTGTGCCAAAAACTCGAACGTTTGACGCTTGGCGTCAACAACACGACAACACGCCGATCCAAATCGATTGGATGTTACCGCGTGTGATCACATGGCGTGTTGTCTATGTGCATCTGACCATATTAAATATATTGGATTGATAAGTACTGACATGCGTCGGATGGCGTGGTGTAGCGTCGCGTTTTGGTAGTATGTTTCCGCCTTTATCAAGATTGTAATACATTCAACACACAATTATTGTTAAATGTAATTAAAATTTCCCGCCTTAATAGAACATCATTGTCATTGTTAACTTTCGCTCTCGCTCTCGGAGGCTGTCTCTTTCACACACTTTGTTCGCCCTCGTTTTTTCCAATTATTAAATAAAAGCTGATTTAATAATAGTAGTCCCTTTTATTTAAACAACAATAATGATCTTAAATATATTATCTACCAACTAAATGAGTAAATGTGTCTTCAATAAGTTAACCCAATTTTTTAACATTTGGCGCGCATAAAGTAGTAAAGTCTTAGTAGCCATAGATTACGGTCTACAATTCATTATTCATAAAATATAAATTCAATACAGAAATAAATGTTATTAATAATTAATATCAGCTGACAGTTCGTTTAAGAACAAGTTCGTATGAAAAATAGTTTGAATTAAAACAATGTCAACAGTCAGTATCTAAAAGACTTGTGGAGGATTGATGGTACTCCAACCTAAAGGAATGATCATCAACCAATCTACCCACTGACTGGCCGGCCCAAAGGCCCCAGTGGGTAGAGTGGTGGTGGTCGAGAAGTTCTATATATTTTTAGCGGCCAGAATAACTTCGTTAACGCGTTTCAGAGTATGACGTCATCGCTATGTTGTAAGCGCAGATTATATATGTCGCTACAGACACACACACGTATGGCGTTGATAACGTATGAAGGAAATATGTTTCATGAGTATTATATACTTACGGATAAATAATTGCAGCAGATGCAAATGTAGAGATGAAAGAGAATGGTAGTGATACCAAGTTCCATGCTAGAAGTAGACTAGCTCCACTATACAACCCCTCTTGGGATTCTTGGTAGTAACGTGTTCGGTATGGCCCATCTGTGGATATCGATAAAATGTATTAATGGTAGATTGCTATTGGCTTCTTAATAATGTCTTCAATTATTAGTAGATAGAACTGCCTGGAAAGTTTTCTCAGCTTGTCTTAAAAAGAATTTAAACGCAAACTTTTGCCTTGCAAATGTTGGTAAAACACAACAAAAATACTTAAATATAACTCACATAAACAAATTGTATTCATAATACTAATGAAATATGTTCCCAATATAGCGTTGAAGATAAGTCCACTTTTCGTTATAAAAGCCCTTTGGTAATCCTGAAATCAAAACATAAACGTCGTATTTAAACCCAAAAAACTGTTATAAACAATCGGTGATGGAAATACTATCTGATGTCTTAGTTACCATGCTGGGCGGCTGGGCCGATACTATAATAGCCCTATGAGATTTTTCTCAGAAAAAGTTCGATCAACAATGTCTCGAATGAGCACATAATGCGCCTGATTTAATAATTCTAAATTATTTATTTGCAAAGAAAGTGTTATATTCAGATTGATTAATTATAAAAAACCGCACAATGATCCATATAAAAATACGCATGCAAATGACATATTAATTGTCTTAATAATAAGAACAGTTAAGGTATTTATAATTAATCTGAAAAATTATGGCCTTAATACTCTCCCACATTATGGCACCTTGCCTTTAAAAAAATAATCACCTTCCCCTCAAAAGCATTACACGGTAGTAATCTATAAATTCTGGGAAGGTGAATGTAGAAAACTACAGCTTACAAAAGGTCGGACTTTGGTTGCTTCGGGCCATCAGATTTGCTGAATAAAGTGTGCACTTTTGTTTACATACTCACCTGTATGGATATATACGAGTATAATCAGTCTGAAAGGGTATTAGCCGCCGCGGCCACATCGCATTATAAAAAAATTCCAAGCTAGTTACGTGAAACCTTTGAGAACCTTACCTTTGCTTCATTGTAGAACACCCACAGAATACAGAAGTAGATTGGTAGTGACAGAAGTCGCATAGACATTTGCTTTATTCCGTTCTTCTTAAAATTAAATATTGATAGTAGAATTCGTCTGAAATTTAATGAGCTACATCATTAACCAAACAACCCTAAGAACATCTTCTAACCATGTAAAATAAACAGTCACTTAATGGTGCGGTAACCGTGTGCTGTATTATTGTCTAATAAGTCTTCTGTGTCTTGCCAGCGGTTGTACTTTTCACTATTGTAATATGCAAATAATTGATAATTGATAAGCGTAATGTATTCTTGTATTAGTATATTTTCTCATGAAAGTAAATGCTGTAATGTTCTTAATAAGAAATAATTATCTTAAACCGTAAACCTAATATTGAAATTAAAATCTCCTTTGAATTCTATCGAGTTATGGGTTTCTGATGGCTCTTATTTTAGTTTTAGCTTTCAGCTGTCACTCAATAAAAACAAGCTTACTATTTTTTTATAGAACAGGGGGCAAACGGGCAGGAGGCTCCGCCCAGAGGTGAGAACAGTACTCCATGTGGGGCCGAATTTGCGTTTTATACATTTGCAAACGGTGGCCCGCAGTGAAGTACCGTCTTGCCTCACTCTCCAAATGAACGGGAAACTGAACGTCGGTCGATATGTCAACGCCAAGTATTCCGTTGCTGGCTGTGGCTTTAAGAATAGTGTCGAATAGAGGAGTAGCGACGAGGGCTGTTTTTTTAGCGGATTTCATATTTACTTAGTGCTATGGTACTTACAAGTAAATCATAAACAATACTTTAACGCCTCCAGGCTTGCCATAGTTCATCTGTATTTTATTTGGGTTTATAATTCTGCTGTGTTCTGTTGGGTTACCCTGCATAATACCCTGACCTTCAACTTTGAACTTTTCGACCAAAGCAGCTATTTGATGATTCGACTCGATAAACCGCTCTCGCGATCGCCTATCAACTGTTGATAGACATACTGAAAAAGAAAAAAGTTGTAGGTACTATGTGTATTGTCTATTGAATCAGTCAATAATTATGAGTTTAGCACTATCCTTACTACTAGATTTCTAAGTAATAATTGCAAATATAACGCAAATTTAGTAGGAATGTTTTTTCTTTAGTAATACATTATATGGCTAATAGCTAGATCCAAAAGGATTAATGAAAAGCCTAGCCTTCAGGCTGGCTTTTGTATATTATGGAGTAGATAGAACGTGAGGGTAGACCGAAAATGACGCGTAATCGCACAAGAGTGGACGGGTATTACGACTGGAGAGATTTCGGATCTGGCCTAGGAATAAAGACGAATACTACGATTATTTAAATGATCCTAATATTGGGATTGATTTGTTCAAATATTTATGGCTTCTCTGCCGTACAAACAATTTGTATGACTCAAAACTTGGCGATTAAAAACAGTGGCGGTGAGGTTCTTGCCAGTTCTTCTCGCCCGTTTTACGCCCTTGACTTTCGAACTGCTAGTAAATGCAGTCAATTTAGAATCAATTTAATATCTTTTCTGTTGACGTTCATAAGTGTACTTGGTTACCTATTTGAAATAACTAATTTTGACTTTGAGTTTGAATAGAGAAAGATGACGGTCGACCTCTAATCACGGAGAAGCGCCAAAACTAGTAAGGATTACCAGGGTAAAATTCAGAGTCTAGACTTAGCGCGAATTATGACTCTCGTATGTCAAAATCCCATAGGTTGGTTAAGTCTCGATTGAGAACCTTAAAAAAACTTTTTTATACTTACAGTAATACATCAAGGGATTTTCTAACTGTGGGCATGGAAAGCCAATGCTGCCAAAGTAATCCAGCAAGTTTCTGGTTGGCCCTGCGTAGACCACGTCTCCCAAACATAGATACACGACACGATCGAGAAAGGGGAAGACATCTGAAAAATTATTTATGTTTAAAAATATCTTTTCCTTTAATAATACTAGTAATAGAAATATATTGTGGAATTCATTTGAAATCTAGATAAGTGTATGAAATATTATTCAAATTTTCTTTGCTTATTTGGAAGTGGCATGATGAGCAAATTTGATATACAGCTTTGAAAACGTACCAGAACCAATTGTTAACAGTATTAATATAGTTAACTTAAAATAGTCTTTTGTATGACAGTGTAGAGGATTTTTAACACTATTGGAAGGGGATTCCCCTTTTACACCAGTATTAATTAGAAGTAGTGAAACGATTTATTTCCTTTTTAAGCTCCCAATTTTTAAGTATCAAATGTAGTACAGTAGTATAATATTTATGTTCCCTTAAGATTTTTTCTTTATTACAATTTAGTTTTTTCTTTAAAATATTAAGTTGTCGTTTGTTTAATTTTACTTTTATTTTCTTATCTATTAATGTACTCATGTTTTCTGTTTCATGTAATGTGTTTTTCAATGTTTATCAATGTTTTGGCTTTGTTTATTGCAATACATATAATAAATAGAAATTCTATCGAGGTAGACCTATTTGTTTGTACACTGGCTGAGTTGAGCGGGTGAGAATTTATAATTATAGAAAATCTTGTTTGAAATAAGTATATGTAACAATAAAACAATTACCTGATCTCGGTTTCTCCATAGTAAGTATAATAGCTGAACCATATTTCTTTGCTATATTCGATAAGATCGATATAACAAGATAGGTATTGAGCGGATCCAAATCCCATGTTGGCTCATCCAGGAGTAGTATAACTGAAATAAAAAAAAACAAACTCTAAATTCCTATCAACTAAAAAAGGAACAGTGCATATAACCTATATCTCAAAACTACTGAACCGATTTTTCTGGAACTTGGAATGTTTCCTAAGTTCTTCACACTCAATATCAACAGAAAACAAAAGATCTTCTTAAGAAATATGCTTACAATGTTGATGCTTAGTAAATGGAAGAGACAGACATTCAATAAATAAAAACAATGTCTAGAAAATAATAAAGTGATAATCGAATTTTTTTATAAAAAGGAATTATTTGGTCACTTTATAAATAAGTGACAATCGAATTATTTTATAAAAAGGAATTATTTGGACATATTTATAAATAAGTGACACTGGAATTATTTAATAAAAAGGAATTATTTGGACCTTTTTAAATAGTACAGTACGTAGTGACGGTCGAATTATTTGATAGAAAGGAATTAGTTGGACATATTTTTAAATAAGTGACAATCGAATTATTTTATAAAAAGGAATTATTTGGACATTTTATAAATGAGTGGCAATCGAATTATTTTATAAAAAGGAATTATTTGCACATTTTATAAATAAGTGGCAATCGAATTATTTTATAAAAAGAAATTATTTGGACATTTTATTAATAAGTGACAATCGAATTATTTTATACAAAGGAATTATTTGGACATTTTATAAAAAAGTGACAATCAAATTATTTTATAAAAAGGAATTATTTGGACATTTTATAAACAAGTGACAATCGAATTATTTGATGGAAAGGAATATTTGAACATTTTCTTACTTGGGTCTCGTATCAACTGCACACCAATCACCAATCTTCGATATTCGCTTTTAGTCAAACTTGTAACGCATTTATGTGAAACCTGGAATAGTTTCTTACTTATAAATCTGATGAGGTATTCATTAACAACATTGTCTGGTCACAAATTACCTGAGAAAGCGCCAAATCTGCCATCACCTGTTTGACCTTTGATGATTTTAGATATCCTGAAATCTAAAACAATTGGCTGAGTTAAATTTCCATAAACTACTACACTGCTTTTAATAATAAAATATATTATATTTACTATTTATTAAAAACTCACGTACAACACTAGAATACAAGCGAAATAATGAAATGTTAATTTTCCTATGTAACGAATGAATGCAATGTAACAGTTAAAGAGAGTGCCTACGTTTGGCTATACTCTCGGGACGTAACTCCGACGATTTAGAAAATAGCCACGCTTATAAAACTAAGAAAGCTTGAGTGAGCAAAATATACAGGCTTGGCTAGTACAAACACTATGATTAAATAAGTTACTTTTGTTAATTAAAAATAATATTTTAACATTAAGGTAAACATAATCAATCAATGATATGATATTGGTTTGGAAATGATTTCTTGCCAGTTTCAAAATCGGTTCCATTGCCAATAAGATTTAGTTCCCTGCTTTATGTGTAGTTCTCTTCTTGTTAGAACTACAAAGCATTATAATGCTGATGCAAAATACTCGTTACAAATTCTTTAATGAAAAAGTGTACGTTATGCTCATCATGAGCTAAAAAAAACAGTGTCATTTTAGGCCGACAGATACAGAAGTCTAAGGCCCACCTTAGACTTCTGTATCTGTTTCAAGACCCATTTTTTAAATAGGCAAGTAGGTGATCAAAGTTTCGTGCCTGGCCGTCAACTATTTGGTTGGCATGACATGAAGGCATGCCGGTTTCGTCACGATGATTTCCTTTGACGAGTGTTAAACGTGAATAGAAAGTTCATTTTATTCGAACCTACGAACTCAGGGATGGGAGTTGCACGCTCAAGAGCTTCTCATACGTAGGAAATCCACATACCTTGGTCAACGACATTGACAGAGTCTGCTGTACAGTGAGACCGGGAAGCAACTTCGTTGAATGACGTACTACAGCACATGTGTTCCTGAAATGATCCTCTTCTAAGGGCACACCTTCAAGCAGAATGTGACCTTTTGAGGGTACACGGCGGCTGATGACGTCCAAGAGAGCTCGCTTACCACTTCCTGAAGATATATTCTAATTAGTAATATATTGCATAGGGTTTTATTTACATTTAAATTCCATGATAAACATATTTTATTTTATATCGGCCATAAGTTTCAATACTATCTAACATAACTGTTATATACATATAGACGACGAACTTTTTTGTGTTATATATAACATTTATAATTATTGATTAATTATATTTTAAGTTATATAGATAAAAATTACTAGTAGGAAACAGATATAAAGATGTTTGTATTTCTTTTACGCAAATTATTTACGATAGTTTTACTTTAATTGAATTATTTATTTATTTCGTACTCCTACAAACAAAACAATTAAACTAAACATATTGGCTATATGTTTAGTATAATTCTTTTTGTTAATTAAATAATTACAAACAAAAACACACACACATAAACACACAAAATAACAATAATCAAAGAGAAAAAAATAAATAAAAAGACATTATGAGATATATATATATTTTTTTCCTTTTCCCATTCGGTTAGTCTCAAGAATGCGTGTGTGCTGTGGCTGTAATTGGCCCTGGCTCAGCATATGAGGAGCAGAATATTCCACAGCGCTGGTCATTCTGCTAGAGACCACATAAGCTAGTTTGCGCCTCAGTCGCAAAAAAAAGAATGTATTAATACTAAGTAGAAAATAATAATTAAAATATTAGTTAAAGTTAGCAGTGTAAGTAAAGAATTCTTGTATAATGTGGTGTGAAGTAAATAAAATAAAATTAAAAGTTAAAAATACGAATAACTGTTAAGATATAGATAAATTATTTGGGCGGATTAAAAACTACATTTCGTGAGAGTTTTGTTGACTTAATAGATGAATTTTATAGCTGCGACTAAAATTCGACTTTAATTTAAGACTCTTGAGCGGAGAGAGAGAGAGAGAATTTCATTAATTTGTTTTGTTAGGTGGAATACATAATATAAACAAGAATTTTTAAATATTACAGAAGGAAAAAGACTATTCGAAAATAAAAATTATTCAATACAATTAAACTAAGTATGCTAATTTGGCTGTTTTGTGAGATAGTGTAAAAGTGGTGCGTACGTATGTACGCGAGGGTGTGTATGTAGGGTGTGCTCAAGATGCAGGTTATTTTGCCTATATAATTTTATCTGAGGCCCCATAATTAGAATATTTAATGAAATATTGAACTACTCTAATAAAATACATAAAATGAATAAATTAGGTTACCTTTAGATCCCAAAATTGCTGTCACCTCTCCACTATGTGTGATGAATGATACATCTTTAAGAATTACACCTGTCTTTACACCACCAGTAAGCCGTTGAAGGAAGCTCCCAGGTTCAACCTGCATAAGTTAAAAACCTATTTAATTCTGCATGAACATAACTTTAAATGTTTTGTTTGAGTAAACGACGTCAATACATCTCGATTATAAAGTATTTATTATTAACTTTTAAAAGCCCACAGAGAACTCACTAGTGAAAAAGTTAGCGTGGATGACGGTTAAAACTAAATTATAGACATACCAAATTATATATGCACGGACAATAAATCTACATATTTATAACACTGAAGTTTGTTCAGCGTATTAACATACTTTCTTTCAAAAAACCTCTACAAAGTAACTAGTAAATTTTCTATCAGGAGCTATTTTTAACCCAAAATATATCCTGATAAAATTATATTAGCAAAGTTACACTTTCTCATATAAAAGACATCAACGGGCCATACTCCCGTAGACATTGATGATAATTTATACCTAGTACTCTATTGCCAAATTTCTATATTACATTTATTTGTAGTAGTATGTAATACTACGAATACTGCTAATATTATTTTCTTTACAACTGTACATTTGCTTATTGTGTTTATTTCAAACAGTACCGTGTATTTACATAACAAACACTCACTTGGCCCGAATGAAAAACATTGCAGAGCTCCAAAGTATAATCACTTCCTATCATAATGAGTTATTTATTACACTTTTGTATGCGAAATTAATATATGTTATAAAAAAAACGACACAGCCTCCAGGTAGTAAACAAATCGCGGACTGAAGGTAATATGCAACTTCACTCGTGACGTGGCCATCTGTGGCTAACTTTGTGTTATAAATATAATATTGCCAGGCTAATGTGAACTTTATATTAATGAAAAAAGGTTGTTATTGCTTTGGCATGATAGAATACGTCTACTTAAGGAGAAGATTTGCAAATATTGCATGATGATTTATGCTTGTATAATATTTTAAGAACAGTTCCATGTCTCATGATTTAATATTTAATGACCAAGGCTTAGAAAATCTGGGTTTGATTCCCGAAATAATGATTTCATTATTATTTTCGTTATATAAACGGGATTATATGACAACACTTTTTTTTTTTTTTTTTTTTTTTTTTTTTGCACCAATTGACCTAGTCCCATGCTAAGCTGGTGAAGCTTGTGTTATGGGTACTAGGCAACGGATATACATACATATTATAGATAGATAGACATATAAATACATATTTAAACACCCAAGACCTAAGCACAACACCAAATGCTCGTCACATCGATGTTCGTCTCAGCCGGGGATCGAACCCGGGACCCATGGATTCGCAGTCAGGGGTACTAACCGCTAGACCAATGAGTCGTCACACTAACTTGCCCTAATGTCCACGAAACAGCAAAAATGCGTTATGCTTATATTCTAAATGAAAAAAAAAACAATCTCATACTTTTCTTTTTTAATTTGTTTTAATTTTCTATTTATTAATTTTTAATTATTATTATTATTACATACTATGTTGGTTAAAATTATTGTAATTACTCTATATTGATGAGTTATTATATATTTCCTAGTCATTTTCAAAGATAACATTATTGTCTTATAACCTTTTTTAGTTATTAGTTACACAAAAGTACACTTTGCCGAAATTAAATCTAATACTTAGTTTTGCCTAAAAATATGAAACATTATTAGCATATTACAACGACTATACGTATAACATACACGTTTAATTTAACATCGCAAAAATATATATTTCAAAGTTCCGTTTGTAAGTTTAAAGATTGAGTGACAGATTAATTCTTCTCCTTAACATTCGAAGCCTCATTTTGCTATCCATTGTTAGTACATTGCATTTCAAACTAAACCTATATTTTCCGTCTCTTTTGCACTCTCAGTTAACCCGTATTTGTACATGAGAAGGCCATGTGTAGGCTTCTATTCACACATTCCAACATTCGTCATCCCTTACTATCATATGCGCGACAGCTTTGTTAGACTAAGAGGGAAAACATGCGCAGTGTCACTGACTCAGTGCTGATACAACCACGTTCAAAGTCTGTCGTCACGTGGTACATGCAAGTGGCCAACGAAACACAAAAACGAACGAACTATACGAAATTTATTATTGTAAATTTATTGATAAAATCGATTAAGTCTCGATTTCAGTGTGTAGATCAACTTCGTACTTTGTGAAGTGTGTGTGTGTGAACTGTACGGAGTCCCGTTGGCCGGTCAATGTAAGTTACTCATATTTGTGTAGGTGTAAGAATTTTATTTGTTATATTTCAACAGACCCAGCATGATACTTATACATTTATGAAATAACCATAACACAGTTATGTTATTAAAGTATATGACGACGATATATGAGCCTTATACATAGTTTTAATTAATCTAAAGCTTGTTTCTTGCTACAATTAATGGACTTGTAATCTTGAAAACTTTGTAAGTTAGTAGTGGTGTGCTGTTCGCAATAGTCGAAACTAGAAGTTGTCATTGGTAAAAGTCAACGCTTGTAACAATTTAATGGAAACATTGTTACACGTTATGAAGTTCTATATTGACTGCTGTTCAGTCGACAGTTGTAGATCTTCCAAAGCTTTATTGTGAAGTACTCTTAAGATTATTGTACAAAATATATTTAAAATTAATCTACAGTATAAAGAAACAAACAAATGTGTGTCCGTCATTTATTTATTAAGTTACAACTTCCGAAATATAAGAACATAATTGACCTTCTCTACTTTAGTCAATTTATTATTAATACTTTACCGAACCTCAGTTGATTTTCAATTTGATTCCAGGGTTATAAATGTTATAAATAAAAATAAATAGAAGGAGCTTTTTGTATTCAGCGTTTAATAATCCAGAAAGGTTATATGTATAACAATAATTTAAATTATATCATTTAATTTTAAATACCTAATTATTTTTTTCATTCTCTAAGGTTAAATTAGAAGCAAAAAATTCTGAAAGCATAAAATTTTAATTAGCGGAAACATATGAATTTCATTAATTTTAGTTTGGCCTTATGTTAGAATGCAATTTTCTAATTATTATTAATTTATCAAAATCCCAAAGACTTTCTAATAACAATTTTGTGATGAATTATATTAATTAACAATTGCTGCATAAGACAAAGCGCACCTCATAATGAAATTGACAAAGTTCTTCTGCTTCGTCATCGTTACTGAAGGGGGACGATCCCTTGAAAAGCCCTAACCGATACGTCAACTTGCTGCGTCTACACCACTCTATCCCTAGTCGCAGTGCATTAGCGATGTTGAGACCCATAATTGTCTTTACCTGGTCAGACTAATGGTTAGGCGATCGACCCCGACTTCTCCTGTCATCACTCCTCCCAATTATTACCAGCTTTTCGAGACTATTCGGTTCTCTCCTGGCAAATGGCCAAAGTAGCCAAGCACCCGTTTGTAAATGATAGTTGACAGTCTTGTGGTTATCTTTAGTTGGTTGACAACGAAATTTTACTAAGCCTCTGTAAAAAAAAATTGCCAACATAAATAATCCGAAAGTGATAATCGGAACAAAATATGATTTATGATCAAGTCAGTTAAAATTTTACAATAAAATAAACTAAAGTTGCATTCCTCATATTAAGTTTGTTCTTTTATACCTGTATTGTAGTGTATATACGAAAATTGGTATTCAATTGGTCAGTCTAAGGGCACAACCGTTTTTTAGACGTTATGTCTGACTTCAAAAATATATTGTATTTTGACATATGTGATAAACCCGTTTCTGAATTGAAAAATGAAATTATATAAACCTAATCTTTATATGAATTATAAAGTCTCTTATAATTCAATCACAATTTAATCTAATACATCATTCATCGTAACGGATGATGAATCCGGTTTCTTGACCCAAGAGGCTAAACTGCGATCTTAAAAAAGCTAAAACAATACGCGATAATGACCTTACGATGAGTCAACGTCTGATATAAAAGGAAATATTTGAAATGTATCAATATAGTTTATATTTGGTAATATTGTGTCTAAACACCAAGCCTTTTAAATAAATAGAGTCCCATTTTAGGTAAGGGATGATTTGACACTGCTCTGCTGCCTAGCTTCTCGCACAGATCTGCCCGATCACGGGCCTGATAGACTACTATCCAGGGCTTTATTTTTTTATAGAACAGGGGGCCAACAGGGGGCCAACAGGAGGCCAACAGGAGGCTAATCTTATGTTAAGTGATAGACATTGACATATACACTTTCAATGCGGGTGGGCTCGCGAGCGTGTTGCCTTTTAAAAATCAGTACCCTCTTTTTTGAAGGAGGAGCCTAAGTTAATTTATTATCACTACCAGCCGCGACAGGCTTTGTTCGACCCGACTATAGTAATATCAGTTTAAGTCATGAAATTAAATAAATCATTTAAGGCCCGTAATGAGGTGTAGGGACACTTTTTTGTATGTCTGATTATTTGTTAAGAAAGTTGGTTAGCCTTCACAATCGACACTAAGACCGCCGCTATAGGAAGTATGCGTTAACTAATAAGCTAGCGGTAATCTTTTGTTAAATAAAATGAAATAATTCAAACAAAGGAAAGTCACTTATGACAAAATAAAGTTAAACATATGACAACCTTTAAGAGACACACATACAAACTAACGCATTCTTAAACTTTGTTAAAGTGTGTTATTAATATGCAAAAGGCGTAAATTCAAAGTAAGGTAAGGTAACAAACAAAAAGTCTTTAGCACTTCTGAGAACAACAATTTGGCCCCGAAGCGGTCAGAATTCTAATAATTTTCTTTTTTTTCAACATAAATATGAATATCTTTTGTATTATGGTAATACTTACAAGTTATTTATAAGACATAATGAAAAGTACTTCAATCTCATAGGATTAAATATGTTTCATTCTATACGCTTTAACCTAGAAAGTATTTCTATTTTAAAATTAAAACAATGAATTAGATTTTAGTAGGTTTATGAGGGTTCCCACACAAGTATGTTCATACAGTTTAGCTTAGGCATCCCGGAGGTCGTCTGTTCGAATCACGGAAAATTATCGAAGAAACGGATGCAATCTGAGGCCCAAGACCATATAGGGTTGTAGTGCCACTACAGTAGCATTAGGTTAGATGAAAAGTTTGTAATACGAAAAAAATGTCTTCATTCTTTTTTTGATACAATTTGATTTGATTATCGAATAATTAATTATTATTTATTATTCGCCTTTGAGAGCGATACAACGATTATGGTCATACAAATTTTCCGTAATATTTTTACTGTACAATTTGTCTTAAGATTCAAAATAGGCTTTAAATTCGGCTCTTCAACATCGCAAAAATATAATATAATATAATAATAATATTTAATATTATGCTTAATAACTTAAATAATTAAGCGGCAAAAATAAGAATTTAATCGGGCTGAAAACATATAAATATAATGTAAAATAGATAAACATGTTGGTAACTGATAACTGTTGCACTATGCTTACAACCTTTTTAGCTATATTCTATAAAAAGTAAATTAAATCAGAGACAATTAAAAACGTAACATCTTGTCTTTGAGACTCCACAGACTACATAGAAATTTGCGAATTTTCTTGTAATTCATTTGCAAATGGTAACATATATCAAACTTTCACCTTATTATCGCATTAAAATCTTAAAACTGCATTTACCGTATAAATTTTTTCACTTTTTAATTAAGA